ATGAGCGTAGTAAGCTCTCGCTCAAGACTTGAGAGTCACTTGAGCATAAAGATAATTTGTAGCACTTGCATTGGTCTCCAGGTGAGGATCCATATCCCTTGCCTATTCTTTCTTGAAAAACAGCATATATGCGAGCACTCGTATCGTTCGGTTTATTATTGTTATTACTCGTCGTTTAAATTAAATATATATTTATTGTCACCTATCTTGTGAACTAATTTGATTTCCGAGAATTAATAATTCTTGAGCTATTGAAATCTTTGATCGATTTGAAATCCTCTTCATGGAACTTAATAAGTTCTCATCTTGATTCGGGAATTATTCGACTAATTTCTCATCCCGATTCCTTGATTACTCAGTTGAGTTCTTTTATCGACCATGAATAATTCAACGAGTTTCAATTTGTTTCTCTATCAATTCAGGATTTTTTCACATCTTTACTTATATACTAGTTGGAACCACTTCTATTATGATTCAGTATGATTTGTTTCTACAGTGGTTTATTGAACGCAAAATCGTTCTTTTCCCGACTCTGGGACCATTTAAGATTATTGTATTCATCCACTAAACCATTCATTTCGTACCTACGGTGAATTGATGGATCGTTCATATCTTGACTTCTCGATGATCTTTTGAAACCATTTGTCTTTCGAGCTATACAATTCTACAGGTTCAATTCTAACCGTAGGATATTGTTGATTGAGATCCATTTTCACCAATCATTATCGAAATCGTTATTGTTCTACATTCATTTAAATCGTTGTTATACATTCTTGAATTGTGGTCACTCGTATATTGAAACCATTGATCGTACCTTTCTTGACTTGTGATTTTGTGGCCACAAGATATTATCACTTGTTATTGGAATCCCATTGGGATTATCCTGATTAATGACTTATTGGAATCCCACAATCGTTGAACTGAGATATTGGTTCTTTCCAAAGTGGAATTCATTATTGGGATTCAAACCCTAAATTGAGAGTCGGAAGCATATCCGATATCGATTATATTTGATTCCTTTGGGGACTCCCTAAGGATAATTGACCGGTTAGGCCTGGGGCTATTCGAAAAAGACTGTTGGGCGGTTTTGGGCTGACGGTGGATGGTCTCTATGACAGTACCCATATTGGATCTAAACCATCGGCATAGTTGGAGGTTAACTGTGATGATGGATGGATCGGCATGCGCCGGGGCATGCCTATTGATCGATTAGCAGGGTAGCTCCCTAATCAGTGTTATAAGGTAGTTACGGATAAGGGAGTCACAAGGCAGGCACATGTATCTTATTGTTCCTTATCGAGCGATCCTTCTCTAGATGGTCCAACTCCAAGTCTAACACGTTTACTGCTTCCTTGTTGTGATTATTATTCGGTTACACTGTTTTTCCATTGTACTCGTCACTAAGTCCATTTGGGCTTACTCCTCCTTTATTTTCTATCTTATTATCAATAACATGTGCATTAGTGGAAGATTATGTTGAAGACTCTTAGGAGTAGAAGTTATTCAGAGATTTTATAGAGTTTAATCATGTATTGTGTTTAAGAATGATTGTAATTCAAGAACTATGTATACGAAATTAGTTGTGAGCTTTGGTTGCCGCTTGTACTTGATTCTAGTAATAAAATTAAGTTGAAGTCATTTGACAAATTAAAGTCATTGTATTTAGTTATTAAAAAAAAAAGTACAATGTATTTTGATAGAGGGCGCCACATTACAACTCTTTGCCAAACCCCACGAACGAAGGTAATTCCTCGAGACTTATTGTTTCCCAAGCATTGTGCAGCACGAAGACCCACATTCCTATTGATATGGAATGTGCATAGAAGATGATACGACTCTGGGAACACATTCTCAAACCCCTTTATCAGCCCCAACTCCCTATCAATCACAACGACACCAGGTACATTGTTTGGGAGGTATAGCCTTCTCAAATTGTTCAACGCCCATGTATAATGCTCTTCATTTTCATGGAACATAAATGCCACTGCAACAGTAAAATTCAGACCCTCGGAGCAAACACCAATAATCTCCAACAAAGGCATTTTGTACACATTTGTTTTGTACATATAGTTCAACAGTAGAACGTACGGAAACAGTCTCAACACTTTGACCGACTAAGGGTGAGACCACATCAGATCAATAACTTCATGTGTAGTTGGATTAGTGTGGATCCACTTATAATACTTATATTAATCAAGCAACCCAACCAAATGCGGCATAATTGTATGCCCACCTCTAGCCTTTTTTTTCATTTTCGCCTTTTCATTGTATATTTGTCTCACATGCACATCCTATGCCAAGTTCTTCTCTTTAAAATGTATTAAAATCTTCTTCGGTGGCACATGACTTTTTGCCAATATCCGAGTAATGTCCACCTCTTCTTGAGTGTTTTCCGTAGAACCATGCCTCCACAAATATAAGGGATCATGATTATGTTTCCCATATAATATTCAAAGTTCCCATCTATCCTCGTAATGTGGGGCTCCCACCAAGTAGAATTTACAATAACATTTCATTGTGTCAGTCCATCTCTTATTTGGCACATCTATGTTCGTTGTAGTTGGCCGGTTCCCCCCAAATATATTACAAGTAAGATATACTCTATTTGTAAGGATACTACGACTCACCAACTTTACACCAAGGTTCTTGGCGGTCGTTTTCGCCCATTCTACCATCTCAATCCTCGATTTAATAGTTCCGGTACTACAAAATGATCACTATGATCAACTTCAGACGTAGAAGAATTTTGTTGTTGCTCTTCCTGAAATAATTATGAATAAAATAAGGTTAACGAGTAATAACAATAACAATAGTACAGTAAAAAAAACCAGAAGTGACCTGCGCCCAAACTGGGCGCGAAAAAGAGTTTTAAACGTCCAAACCGGGCGGGAAAAGTAGTTTTACGCGCCCAAACCGGGCGCGGATTACCCGACCGAGCGTCCGGTTTGGGAGTGAATCGGGCGTTTGTGCGCGTCTAGTTTGGTCTTGAAACGTATTTTTCGGCGCCCATATTTGTTGTGAGTCGCGTTTTCCTGATTTATAAAACTAAAAAGAAAAATTTTTAACTCATTGGGTTGTGTATCTCGATCCTCATTCGATGCACTCATTTTTCTTTGTAAATCGCTACAATAACATGAGTTTTGGGACAATTTCTAATATAAAAACTATTAAAACAATTCTACAAAGAGAAAGATAGGTAGAGAGTGGATTACTTAAACCCGTATTCGTAAAAATACTACCGCGAATATCACCTCCCTATAAATAAATGAAAATGTTAATTTCACCGATTCAAATCAGAAAAGGATGAAATTTGGAACAATAGTTTTCATTATGAATTCTAAAATTCCGCTTTTTTATTTTTCAAAAATTATTTGGACCGAAAATAAATATTTATGAGATTATGATATTGGATTTTAAGTTCCGAAAATTCAAAAAACAAATCCGAAAATATTACACTCCTATTATCGAGGATCAAGTTTCCCTCAAAAATCATCCAATCCACGGGCCACACAATCTATTTTTTTTTTTAATCTATTTATTTTTATAATGGAAATGTCAAATCATACAACCAACCAATGAATTATCTCTTATAGCAGGTCATACAACCAAAACTCTCGTAATTTTATAATGTATAGGCCTAAAATGTTGATTTTAAACTGGGGTGGACTAAATATCGACTAAAAATCCCATTTCGCCTTCAATCTTATTCTTAGTTTGATTTTTCTTTCTTTCTATTCCTTGTTAGCTATGTATTACTGGGTAGTTTATTTCATTATGTATTAGTGGGTGGTTTATATTACGTTAGTGGGTCAATTATTTAGTTCATGGTGTTAGTCATTTAGTGGATTATTAAGGGGGTCCTTATTTTATGTTTTGTGTATGCCTATATAAAGACTATTTTCCAATGAAGTTTTATATATTCATTGCAGTAGATCCTTTCATCTCATGTGTTTTCATTATTATTATCATCTTTCATTTACTATCAGTGGTATCATCGGGTGAGGTCCTCAAATTAAAAAAAACTTGAGTGAGAGTGTTCCAAAAGAAAGATAGAAAAGAAAGGTGAGAGAAACAAAAAGAGAGAAAAATAAGGTGAGGGAAACAAATGAAGAGAAAAATACGTGAGATACTTTCTTTGAAAAGGTTGTAGCTTTATCAACCATGGGTTCAGAAAATAACTTTGTGCAAGCAGCCATTCCACACTTTGATGGTCCTACGACCACTGCAGCATGTTGACGAAGGATAATCGTAGAAACTGGTGTTGGAGAACTTGGAAATATCGAAACTTTGACGAAAGGTGAAAAGACAGACTTGGAAGTGAAATGGCTGAAAATTTTAAAGGCGAAAAATTATCTCTTTCAGGCGATTCATCGTCCCATCTTCAAAACTATTTTTTGCAAAGAAACTTCCAAAGATATTTGGGATTCCATGAAGAAGAAATATGAAGGCTCGGCGACAGTGAAGCGTGCACAACTTCAAGCCTTGAGAAGAGATTTTGAAACACTTCAGATGAAAGATGGAGAATTAGCCACTAGCTATTGTGCTAGAACTATAGAGATCAGCAGCAAAATGCGTTTTCATGGCAAGAAGATGGGAGATGTCATTATCGTGGAAAAGATATTGTGTTCCCTAACACTAAAATATGATTATGTTGTATGTTCCATTGAAGAATCAAAGGACATAGATGCACTTTCTCTCGATGAACTGCAAAGTTCATTGTTGGTCCATGAGTAAAAGATGAACCGAGGTTCAACAGTAGAGGAGCAGACCCTAAATGCTTCTACTAATACTCATTACTGTAGTTATAGAGGAAGGGGTAGAGGTAGAGGAAGAGGAGATCGAGGTGGAATATATGGAGGAAGAGGAGATCGAGGCGGTAGAGGCAATATAAACGTTAGAGCTAACAATGGCCAGTTTCACAGTAAAGGAAGCAACCGAGATGGTGACAAGTCTAAAGTCGAGTGCGTTAGATATCATAGATTTGGTCATTATCGCTCTGAATGTTACACAAGGCTGCATACTGACAAGGAAGAGAAGTCAAATTTTGTTGAAAACAAAGAAGGAGAAAATTTGTTAATGGCGGTTCAAAGTGAAAAAGAACCGGAGCCGAGTGTTTGGTATGTATATACGAGCTACAACAACCACATGAGTGGAAGCAAGTCTTATTTTAATCGTTTAAATGAAGGTTTTCATTCTACTGTCAGTTTTGGAGATTTCTCTACTATGAATGTGATGGGAAAAGGTGATGTGAATATACAAATAATTTGTGAAGTGCTGGTCAATTGCAAGAAAAGGGTTATGTTATTATTATTCAGAATGGTGCTTGCGAAATTTATGATCCGACGAGAGTATTGTTCAAGTGAGTTCAAACAGGTTATTCCCTTTGAAGATTGAGACTCTTCACACCTGCTTGATGATCGAACTGAAAGATCCTTCTTGGTTGTGGCCCTTTCGATATAGCCACTTGAGTTTTGGGGGATTATAAACTCTTCGACAAAAGAATATGGTAACTGGTCTTCCTCAAATCTCAGCTCCTTCTCAAATTTGTGAAGAATGTATTGTTGGAAAACAACATCGTTCCCAATTTCCAAAAGGGAAGTTATGGAGGCAAATGGAATTTTGGAGTTGGTTCATTCTGACATTTGGGGGCCGTTGAGACCAATTTCGAATGGATGTAAAAGATACTTAATTACCTTCATTGACAATTTTTCCCAAAAAACTTGGGTTTACTTTTACAAGAAAAATCTGAAACTTTTAATGCATTTTAAAAGCTTTAAGGCTCGGGTGAAAACTGAGATGGTAGAAACGATCAAAACTCTTTGAACTGATGTGGGCGGTGAGTATTGCTCTACAGACTTTGGTGTTTTTTGTGAAGCTCGAGCCATTAGAAGAGAGCTCACAACTGCTTACACACCAAAACAATACGGCGTATCAGAGAGGAAAAATATAAATATCCTCAATATATTCGAAGCTTGCTGGCAAAATGAAGGATTTCAAAACAATTTTGGCCAGAAGCTGTAAATTGGAGCTTCGCATCATGAACACAAGGCCTACTTCTGTTGTTCGAGATGTGACACCGGAGGAGCCTTAGAGTGGAAGGAAACCGTGTGTTGATCACTTCCGAATTTTCGGTTTCATTGCATATGCGCAAGTCCCAGATGAGAAGAAAAAGAAGCTTGATGATAAAGGTGAGAAGTGTGTCTTTCTAGGCGTACAAATTGTTCAATCCAACGACAAAGAAGACTGTAATCAGCTGAGATGTACTCTTTGATGAAGAAAAGAATTGGGATTGGGATAGTAAGAAGCCTACTCAAGTTCTATGTGATAATGATGTTGAAGAAATATCTCCGATGCTCGACAATTCAGGAAATGATACTCATGTAGCTACTCAAATCTCGCCAGAAGAAGCGAGTGGTTCCAACGCCGATTCACGTCGGCGAATTCGGAGAAGGCCAGCATGGATGAAAGATTATGAGGTAACGTGATTTGACACAGATGATGATGCAATTATTCATTTTGCATTATTTGCACATTGTGATCCAACAACCTTTGAAAGTGCCATCAAAGAAACAAAATGGCAGCAAGCAATGGATGCTGAAATTGAAGCTATCGAAAGGAATGGTACGTGGGAGCTGACTGGTCTTCTAGAAAGGCAGAAAACCATTGGTGTAAAATGGGTTTTTAAGACGAAGCTCAAAGAAAATGGTGAGGTTGACAAGCATAAGGCACGATTGGTTGTTGAGGGATACAAACAAGAATATGGAGTTTATTACATAGAGGTGTTTGCTCCAGTTGCAAGGCATGACACGATCAGAATGGTGATTGCATTAGTGGCGCACAATTATTGGCCTATATTTCAGCTTGATGTCAAATCGGCATTCTTGCGCGGAAACTTGAAGGAGAAGGTATTTGTCGATCAACCCCCTAGTTATGTTATGGTTAATAACGAGCATTAAATCTGTCGATTAAAAAAGGCTCTTTATGAACTTAAACAAGCTCCACGAGCTTGGTATAGTCGCATTGAGGCTTATTTTCTAAAGGCTGGTTTTTTAAAATGTCCTTACGAGCATACTGTATTTGTTAAAATTGGAGCAAAAGGAGAAATGCTCACTGCATGCTTGTATGTCGATGATCTCATATTTACTGGAAATTGTGATATCATGTTTAAAGAATTCAAGAAATCTATGATGGATGAGTTTGAAATGTCTGATCATGGTAAGATGCATTATTTTCTTGACATAGAAGTAGTGCAATGTGATAGTGGAGTTTTTATATGCGAGATATGCTGGATAGGTTTCGAATGAAGGATTGCAATCACGTGAGTACTCCAATTGTGTTTGGCTTGAAGCTAAACAAAGATCTTGAAGGCAAGAAGGTGGAGAGCACACTTCACAAGAAAATAATGAGTACAAATATTTTCCATATTGATATTGATTCTACATTCACGTTTAGCAGGCAGCAACGAAGGTTTTAAGGGAGTGGGAGTTGAAATTTGATTTAGTACACTGGATCCGTGTCAATGGAACGACGAAGTATCCAGCTATATTCACAACTCGAATTAAAAAAATCTATAACACTAAAGATTGATTTATTTTGGGAAACAAAATACTAGCTAAATTTCATGAACTGGATCGGACTCGAAAACTTTTTTTAGGATTCATGACTTTGAGATGTATGTTTTTGGAAGAATGCATGCTCGCTCGGTACAAATAAATGCGTGTTGTGCACATGAGAAATTTCAACTCTCTTCGCTAATATTAAGACCACAAGAATTGTGTTCGTAAACAATGTTGTGAAGGGTGGGAAACATGTGAATCACATGCTGCTTGAGTACAAAATTACGACGAGATATATAAAATTGACAAAGAGAGCTACACTCGACAGTGTCAAATATTGGTAACCGGATTCACCCAAGTCAGATAACCTATTCAATAGATTATACAAACATCAGCATGTAATATATAAGATTGGAAAATGAAGCTCAACCAGATGATTATCTTCTAATTACAAATACAACGAACTTAAAAAATACTTATTTCTAACGAAAATCTGAAGATATGCAAGCTGCAGTAGTATTAAGGATACACAGAGGCGAAGAAGTTGAAGAGTTATTTGCAATCAAGTAAGCGATCATCATATCAAACATTTCGCAAAACAACTCAAATGATGAAATAGCAAAGAAGCAGGAAGTAAAACATATCTGAAACTATCATAAGAGGAAGTTCA